AAGACGCCAATGAAGATCCAACTCGGTCCATTCCGATGTGAGCGGCGCGATGGTGCCCCTCTGGCTATCTTATTGAAATCGCAGATACCTCTGTGATCAGGCATTCAAACGAAATTGATGATGAAGCAGATTGATGATATTTCTATAGTGAGGACAGACACATTGACTGGCTTTGAGCGTGCAGTTAGCGAACCAATTGCTGTCGGAGTGAATGTTTTCCTGGAGCTGCACTTTGTAGCATACCGCCTTGATTGCAATCTCTTTGGCCTGAAAAACACTACGGTGGTTCAGTAGCTTATGCGTGAAAAAGCTCACTGCGCCTTTTCTCTAGCGACGCTCCACACACGTATTCATCGTTAGGAAGTGAGCAGAGAAAAAGCCGCCACGAGTGAGAGACACAATTAGCCATGCTTTCATAGACGCAGTTGAAGAAAGAGTATCCCTTCATATATACAGATTTCCTAGCCTTTAAAGCACACTTTGCAGCCATACACCTGCCGCCAATATCCATGGGTGCTGTGCTTTAAATGGTTTTAGATGCTACGCTTCTTGGACACGCTCAAGGTTTTTAGCAAAATTAGCCCTTTCAAGCGACCTCTACCAGACAAATACACCAGAGAATATTCTTATAAGGCAACCGATGCTTCCTAACTCTCTCCGCAATATTTCACCTCCAAGAAAGCTTCTTATCAACGCTGAGCCTTAGATATTTCAACTCAATAACAAGATGAAAACGGAAAGCCTCGTAGGGCCTCTTCCTACGTTTGGGATCTTCTACTTCCTTATAAATAAAAACCATTTCACTTTTACTTGAGTAAACGATTAGGCCGCTGCTATTCGCGCGGTTGTATACCTCGTTGAGCTACCTTTCGGATAGAGTATTTTTCTTTAAACATAAGACCAACTTCGTCAGCGTAGCCTTTCACCCGACAACTTAGTTTCTAGAGTTCTTAAACCACCAAAATTCAAAGTAGTGGGGAAAGTACTCTACACTGCGGGTGCCCCCATTGAACTTTCGGGATCTCTTTGTACTACCCCCTGTCCCAAAAAGGACTATAAACAAATCGACTTGACGGCCTTAACTATCACCTCCTACGGTACTATGCTGAAAGCCTTTTTGATGTCGAAAAAGCTTTCTACAAAAAATTTCTTACACATAAGGGCACCCTCTAGCCATGACAGTGCATCGAGCCAAGCAGTTTCGACCGAGCTTTAAAAAAAAATGTGTGCTTAGCAGATAACATTTAACTGCTTACTTGGTGATAAATATCAAGAATTTATTAAAATTTTCATAGATATTCTCATGAAACCCACACATTTCAGTAACTGTAAGATCTCAACAGCTCCAAAGCAAATAAAATTCAATTATTTTTCTATTTTATTTACACACAATAATTGTGTTAACCGACAGAGCCTTGCAAACGCATACCGCCACAATTAGCAATACATGGTCGCAAGTACTCACATTCCTTTAATGCAACCCACAATTTTTCCACTTCGAGAACGTTGCCACTTGTCATAACAAACCAGCTCGACTGTCCTTTAATTATGCGGCGAGTATGGTTGCAAGGCAAAGCTCGGATGACAACTTTCTTTTTATCTCTCTATTTCTACCCTGCCGACCTTGATTGACCACAACGGTGTCGTCCGATTGCCAGACCAGACCTTCACCAAGGCTTCCAACTGCTGTTAATTGCAGCGTTGCCACTGATACCCTACTTAATGCTAATGCTGCAAATTAGGAATAAAAACAAACAGAAATATTCTGAACAAGTTGAGAAAAACTCGAAAATCCGCAAGGATGACAAGCATAAAAAATATATATAAAAAGGTGAGTCGCATCAAGGCAAACGAAGCGAAAGCAAGTTGCGCACAAAGATGGAAATTACGGTGGAAAAAATCCCTATAAATTGTAGAAAAGTAGAGGGCAGCACGTTTGGCAAAACCAATAGTAATTATTGGCAATTAATACCGGCCACTATTACCCCAAGCGCCGCGAGAGTGGCGGACATGGGCGCAGTGACAGTTGCTCTGGCCGGCGCAGCTACCAAACAAAAACATGCTGAAAAACGAAAGGAGAATAGAAAAAAATAATAAAAAAGGTAAAAAGGTCGGTGAGCGCTTGCTTAATGATATTTGGTTTAGGTGTCCGTCTGCATGGCAAGCGGCGCGCACGAAGGTCCTGCTCTAGCGCTAAGGTGTCGGCGCTGCTTTCGTTGGGTGGGAAATTTTGCCAGCGCTTGCAATTAAATGCGCGACAGGCTATTTGCATAGGAAATTAACATAATTGCATTAAACACCGTCTTGCCGACGCTACAACCGTTAATGGCGCTACTAATATTGCCGCCTTGAGCAGCTCTGCTGCGGAGGGTTTAAGAACAAAAACATTTTTACTATTAAAGGTTCGATTAAATCCAAAAATATTGGTCGCTTGTATTTAATATGTAAATGTGAGTAGATGCAAATGAAAATATATTGGTTTGTCGAAAAATTATTTTCGTATTTCTAAACAAATTTTAACATATTTTTATTATACTTTTATAATTAACTTAAATGAGTCAAATATGTACCATTTTGGTACACCACTTTTTGCCATTTTTCCGCTAGAAACATTATTCCATCAGAGAAAAACTTTTCTAGTTTCTCAGCGAAAACCTGCGACAAGTAATTTTCACAGGCTTCTCTTGAAATCAACTTTACTCCATTAAGGAAGTTCTGCGTTGACCGAAACAAATGGTAGTCCGATGGTGCGAAGTCAGGGCTATGTGGTGTATGCATCAAAACTTCCCAGCCAATCTCTCCCAGGAAGATGAAGCCCTTTCGTGGATCAGTTCTGGCTGTTTTTTTTCGATTGCTTGCTTCCATCTCATCAGCTGTTGACAGTATAATGTAGATTTAATACTTCGACCTGGCTGTAGCAGCTCATAGTGGATGATTCCTTTTCAATTCCACCAACACTCAGCTTGGCCCATGATCTTTTTCGCACATTATAGTCGTATTTGATCTACTTTTCATCTCTTGATAACACTCGCTTCAGAATTGTTTCGATTTCATTTCAGTTTCAACAAAGAAACGCAGATGTTAATTCGGTCTATTATACTTTTCACACACAATTCCTGTGGTACCCAAACATCGTGCTTCTTTTTGTAGCCAGCCGTTCTTAAGTTACTGAATTGTAGCACTGGATATTTACGAATTGACAAAATAGGAAAAGACTTTTTCGACTACCAATATATTTACATAAGTATTGCGGGGATACCTATCAACGAGGCAAAACACGTACTCTCCTAGGTTAACTTGATAAGATTTCATTATTATGAGAAGAGAAATATTTACTTTTCAGCAATCGAAGTGTCTCTAAGTGAGGAGCCACAAGAAAACCTAAGTTTAGGTGACATAAGTTTAGGTTATGTTGTGACTCTCTGAAGACTCATGACTCCCAAACTTTGGCCTTCAGAATGAGGTATAGAGTACATAACTTTTCAATTTTTAAATTCTATCCACCAACTGCTTTCAACGTTCCACCTTCCACCTTACTTGTAAGACTTAAACTAAAGAAGCGGATGCTTGAAGTCGGCACTTTAAGTAGAAAATAAAATATTGATATTACTTACTATATTTAATTCAAAGAGACTTTCTATTAAGTACTACTACAAGGAAATGTCCAGCGCTTCGACTTGCGCTGGCTAGTCAATTCGCTCCCTATGTTCAACGAGCAAAGCGATTTTTTTAGTTTCCCAACCGTGTGTCTCTTTTTACGCCACAAACATTGTCACCCCCTTGCTTCAGCACACAGTCAAAAGTGTGTTGCATGCACATTTATATGGACGCATTCGTCCAACATTGAAATTATTTCACACATGATTAATTTACATCCTCTTCTAGTATTCAAATGAGCTTGGCATTAAAAGCCGCAATCAAACATTGCACGTTCTGCATGAATTAGTGTCAGTTGCATTACAATAAATTAACATAATAACAAAAACAAGAACATAAACAGCAACATGATATATGCAAACGTGCGAAACGCTTTAAATAAGACAAGCGCATGGAATTTCATTTAAGTTAGTAACACGCCAGCACGAACACACACACCAACACAAGCACAACTGCCAACTGGCCAACGGTAGATTACATTAAATGACTGTTATTACGCCTGATATCGGCGCTGTTTGTCAAATGTACAACTTGTTCGACGCATAGCCTAACATTAGCCAGCTGTGCAGTTGCATGTGTGCGCCCGCTGCGCCGCGCGCTTTTTAAGGGAATTATGAAAATTCGCAATTAGACTGGCAGCAGCAGCAAAACATCCGCCACTGCGCGCCACACGAATATGCATATGCTCGGTGTACGCGTCTGTCTCTTATACACATCTAGATGTGTATAAGAGACAGTTTTAAGGGAATTATGAAAATTCGCAATTAGACTGGCAGCAGCAGCAAAACATCCGCCACTGCGCGCCACACGAATATGCATATGCTCGGTGTACGCGTTGGGCATTTGCCAGCCTCATCAGCGTGTCAGCAAACATATTGTGTAATTACATAATACAAATATAATTTAATAAAGTCACTTAATGCGAAATGCTACTTGCTACATGTGGCAGTTGAAAACTGACTGTTAAGTTTTGAATGCCGCCACACACACACTCACACGCACACATATACATTTGTACTCCATTCAAAGACCGTTTTGCGGGGGGAATAAGGAGTCATGTGTGGGTTTTTTCATGACTGGAGCACTTACATTGAAATAAAGGCACTACAGTGCGTATGCGCGATATTTTTGAAATGAGCAAAAACGAATAAAGTGCAGTGATTTGAGTTGAAATATTTTGAGTTGTAAGCAACACTAATTCAGTGTATGTGAAATTCTTATAAAATTACTGAAACATTCAAATGGGCCGGTTATGACCAACAACAATACATAGAAATTAAAAATCATAAAGCTTTCTTGAAAGACGTGATTAACTAATGAACTTTCTGTCTTTCCTCTTCCAGGACTATGAAAAGGATATCACCAGCCACAAGCTCAACTCACCGCTTAGCAATCACAGTCTGCATGAGCTGCACAATCAGAACTCTTACGAGAAGGATCACGTCAAAGAGCTGGAATTTTATCAAAGCTTAGCCAAGGCGGCCTCACTGGCCAATCACAATGACGCACATTCGAGGCATTCGCATGATTCACACGAGCTGTCACCGCCCACTTCGCCGCAACCAATGCAAATCGACACCGATGTGGGTGAGGATTGCGATGCGCGCGATCATCTCAATCCCCTGTCCGACGCGGAGGAACAAGAGCAGCAGGCGAAGGCGTCCGCTTCGGCTTTGGCGGTGGCAGCAGCGGCAGCGCAGGCGCATCTGAACGGAACTAGTGAGTACATATCGAAATCCAATTCTAAGAAAATTAAAAAAAATACCACAAAAAACATCACAAATATTCAATAACAGGAAGACGGAATATTTTCTAAAGAGTATAGACTTCGGTTTTCGGTAAAAGAAAGCTACTTTCTTACGTCCAAAGATGGCTTTACACTAGTTTCACAAAGTCTTAGTTTTTACTCGAAATTTTATTTTCCTAATTTTAAACTTAACAAAAGGTTTCCAGTGGTACATTTGAGAATAGTAAAGACAAAAAGATCCAGAACATTCTTCAACCGTTTTCCACGCTTCCATCTAGCGGGCAATACCCCTCGCAACTAAATTTAGAGCCTACAAAACTATAACTGTTTTTTTACATATCAATATACATATACACAAGTATTGGCACAAAATACGAAGAGACTTTTTCGACTAACCAATAAATAGGTTATTTTAATATACTTAGAGAAGCATTGGTCTGTACTCACGCCTCCTATGGATAACTTAAATGCTTAAATTTCACGGGTTTCGTTGAATTTGAGCCCTTTGTTGTTCAATTTACCTCGTCTATGCGTCAAGCGTTCAGGGAATCCTCACAAATGTCCAACTAATCGAGCAAATCAAGAGGCATCAGCGCACACTGACATTTACTAGCACCACACTCACACAAATCAACATTCACACAGATAACTTACAAGCCACACACGCGGCGACCGTAGCAAGCGCACACAGACGGGTCATTAAGTACCTCCAGCAGACAACACCGAACACAGCATTTAACTCATCAAAGCCCGATCCCCAAAATTTTACTAATAACTTGCAACTTGTCTCATTTTTACCGCCCTTACTACACAAATCCACACCGCTACGCTTCAAAACTGCACACACCGGCCACCACATACAACATCATCAACAACAATAACAACCATGCACCCACCGTAACCGTAACCGTACACACTGCAGTGCAAGACATGATAAATTTACAAAAATTACAAAATTTAGCCACGCTCCAGCAGCAGCAGCAACAACAACAGCAGCAACACCATCACCTGCAACATTCCAGCGGCGGCAATGGCATACACCAGCATCACCACCACCACCACACACAACTTCCACACTTACATACGCCACCTGGCGGCTCATCCACACCGGTGAGCGTGGCACCAAGTGTCACACCGGCCACAGCAGCAGCATTAGCAAGTCTTCAGGGATTAGCGGCTGGTATCAGCGCCTCAGCTGCAGCGGCGGCAGCGCTCAACTCACCACTCAATCTGACTGTGGGCGCCGGTGCCGGTGGCAGCGCTGGCATTAGTGCTTGTCTGCCACCAATTGGCGCCACTGGTCCACACAGCGCACCCTGCTCCCCCACGGCGCTATCCGCCTCGAATGTATTGGCTGCAGCTGCAGCCGCCGCCGCGGCTTCTAACAATAATAATAATAATAAAGTCATGTCACATGCTGGCGTCTGTGGTAGTGGCCAGGACAACGGTGACGGCACATCGCCCAACTCGAACTCGGTGCAGGCACAGACGATGGCTCAGAACACTTTGGCAAATGTGTTGAATTCAGCGGCAGCGGCCGCGGCAGCTGCAGCAGCAGCTGGGGCAGCGGCCACCGCCTCACCGCCGCCCGCGCTGCCGACACCGGCGACAAGCGCCCAAATGCCGCAACTGATACTCGCATCCGGGCAACTGGTGCAGGGCGTGCAAGGGGCGCAGCTGCTCATTCCAACGGCGCAGGGTAAGTAGCGTAAATATGTATTTATAATTGTTGGTTGATAATAAGGCGAAACCGATGAAAGACTGCTTAAGCAAAATGATCGGATTTGGAGCCTAATTCTTTAAATGTACTGTCGTATGAATTCACTTTCGAGACATTCCAAATAGCTTGTCAAATTGCTGGATGACAACTAATTTGATGAATTTCTTTAAACGAGACTTTACTCTTTCGTCCTTTGATGATGTTTCCCTCTTTTCGCAGGTATAGCCGTACAGACCATTCTGACCATACCAGTGAGTCCGCAGATCAACACCAATGAGCAATTCTTGCAAAACTTCGGCGCCTTTGCATCATTCCAGCAGCAACAGCAGCAACAACAAGCACTCTTGCCACCTCCTTTGCCACCAGCGCTCGCTGCCTTGCAACACGCTTCAACGCTGCCTCAGCTCGCGCAAACCCAGACGAATTTACTCAAACCCAACCTGTTCTCGAGCAGCGTGCAACAGCTGTTAGCCGCCTTGCATCCGGAATTGTTTGCCGCGGCCGCCGCTAATCATCACCTGCACGCCTCGTCGCAAGCCTCACATCATGCCATGCATCATGCGCAGCAACAACGCAGTGACCAACAATCGGCGGCGCCACCACCGCACCTTGCCCATCTGCCACCACCGCCGCATCATCACCTAGCCACACATTCGCACACGCTGTCGGGTGATTTGCATTTAGCTGCCGCAGCAGCCGCGGCAGCAGCGCGTAACAGTGAAAGTGCACATTCTCCACCGAGTTCACCCCCGCCGCACAGCATCGGCGGCGGAGCTGAACGCACGGTCAACAGCAGTGCGTCGTCAAGTACAAAAGCCGCCGCGGCGGCAGCGGCAGCAGCAGCCGCTTTTCATCTTCAACAGCAATTACACATTAAGCAAGAAACCTCTCCGCGTCATCATCATCACGCATTGCACACACATACACACCATAGCGGCGCACATCACCACTCACTGCGACACACAGTGGATGAGCTCGCCTCACCAAACCGGGAAATTGGAAAGTCGGCTAACACAAGCTCTTCGGTTACATCGATGCATATGCCACCGGATGTGAGCGCATCTCCACCGCCTGGACTTAGTGCACACCATCATCACTTTCATCATCGCAGCAATGTGTTGGGAAGTGGTCACCAGACGAGCTCGACACCATCGCCACGTCCAAACTCGTCCACGTCGACGTGTACGATGACGTTGCGGGACCGTGATAGGGATAGGGAGCGAGAGCGGGAAAGAGAACGTGACCGTGAACGCGATAGGGAGCGAGAGCGGGAACGTGAACGCGCTGAACGCACGGAAACACATCACAAACGCAGTCCTACATGTGGCAGTGGCTCGCTAAACAACGGGCCCAACGCTATCGCGTGCAGTGGCATGAATCTCAGCCATCATTCCAACAAACGTGAAAGGGAACGTGAGCGCGAGCATTTGAGACGTTCATCTTCACCTACACTCGGCTCGACATGCAACTCAACACAATTGCCGGTGAGCGGTCGCAACGCATCCTCCGTGGCAAGTTCGTTGTGCGCTTCCAATACCAACTCAGCCTCAATCAATGCATCAGCGTCAGCAACATCCGCCTCAGTATCCGCAACTGGCAATCAACATCACCAACATGGGCATCACTCACACCAACATCACCAAAGCCATCATCAGGCACACCACAGTCTACACCATCATCCGCATACGCTGTCGTCAGGCGTCACAACAAGTTCGGCTTCCGTCTCATCGGCCGGCGGCGTATTGTCGTCTTCGACATCGACGACTTCCAACGAAAGAGGCTATTCATCTCCCTTGCGCGGCACTGCTGGTCAATTGTTCCGCACCCACTCACCGTCACCGTCATCATCCGCAGCGGTAGCAGCCATCACGCACTTGCATCATCATCAACATCAACAACAGCAGCAGCAGCAGCAACAACAACAGCACGGCCAACATGCACACAATATGAGCTCACCGCATGAGCGTGATTTTCTAGGAAATGGCGGCGGAATGAGGGCATCTCCACTGGGTATTGGCATTAGTGGCGGCGGGGCAGCGGTTGGCATGGGCAGTGGACAATCTTCAGCGACCAGCATGCTCAACAGCATTAATAGGTAAGTTCATAGGGGTACGAAATTTCGCTGAGCATAACAAAGCACGGTTGTGGTGTGCTAATTAGACTACAGAGAAGAGGAAAATTAATATGGGCCTTTGGGGCCACCAAATAACTTTTAATGGTTGCGTATCAGAGAAAGAGATTTATTAAAACTCGCAAAATTGATATTGGCGCACACACAAAGCCTTTGGTGCCATAACATAGCCGCGCAGCAACTTGAATGTATTTTAAGTACCAATTAATACCCCTCCACTTGTATTGCAGACTCTCCGCCTCGGCAAATGGTGAATTGACCATCACAAAGTCGCTGGGTCCGCCATCAGCGACCGCGATACGTGCATCCTCTGCCTCGCCCACCTCGCCGGGTCTCGGTTCGTCGTCGCTTGGCATAAATACCTCATCCGCGTCGCATCTGGTGCATCACCCGCACCATGGCATGCACTCGATGAAACTCAGCCCGACAACCAGTTCGTCAATGCAACGTGAACGCGACCGCGAACGCGAGCGAGATAGAGAAAGAGAGCGAGACCGTGAAAGAGAACGCGAACGTGAACGGGATCGTATTAGTGGCAGTGGCCTTGGAGAACCGACTTCTCAGCTCTCTCCTAATGGCACGGACGGTTCGAGCGGTGCGCACGATCTTCTAATGGATTCACCGAGTGAGTAAAGATCGCTTTCTTTCAATTACTTTCACTAATTTAAGACCCGTAATTAAACACATTAGGAAACCTTGGATCATTTCCGTTAAGTGACGGTTAAATGGCTCTTGGTACATTTTCATAATATGTCTTAGAAGTTTTTAGTTTAGGCTAGGGTATCCATATAGACATTTTTCATGAGATATATTTCTATTATGAAGTCATAGAGCTTAGTGTTGGCCACTAATACCCTAATTATACTCTTAACACAGTATAGTAAATTTACCACGAAGTTTGTAATACTCAGAAGCACACGTCGTAGACCTTATAAAGTGTAGATGTCAATAGTCAGTTTGATGAGCTCAGTCGATTTAGCCATGTCCTTCTGTCCGTCAGCATATATACACGCACGCAAACTAGTTCCTCAGTTTTTGAGATATCGATCTGAAATTTTGCATACCTGCTTTTCTCTCCAAGAAACTGCTTATAGGTCGGAATCGCCGATATCGGACTACTATAGAGTACAGCTGTCCTACAAACTGAACTATCGGTTTCAAGTCCTTGTATGGGAAACTTTTTTATTTTACAAGATATCGCCATGAAATTTAAAATGGTTTACTATCCGGAGCCACAGTACAACCTCCGAAGAAATTGTTCATATCGGGGCACTATAGCATATAGCTGCCATACAAATTTACGGAACGAAGTTTTTTTCTTGTATAGAAACTCTTTTATTTGTGAAGGTTATTCTAGTTAACGATTCTCTTTTCTTATGATTAATTGTTCAAGAGACCGACAATTATCGGTGGGTGGTTTGAAGAAGGGCTACTTGCAAATATAGCAGGAGTTTTCAAGGAGATCTTGATCCTTTCTTTAAACTGCTGTAATATTTAAAATTCATGTCATGTAACTGATACACAAATACATCTTTACTATTGTTGTAATGCGCAGTGTTTCCTCATTTATATGCACTGTGCCGCTGTAAGAGCTGCCACAAGACCGCTAGGCGGATTTTTGTTGTAATTACTGCGCGATTTTGCCTTCAGCGGCAAGGATGGCTTGCGTAAGTTGCTTGTAAGTCGATGAGTGCATTTTGATTTATTTATTAATACAAAAGTGCGAGCATTATGCAAAGCACCATATTGTCTCCGAGGAGATGTGCTAAAGCCTTGCTGCACGGCACAACGCGCCCCGCTCCACAATATTACACCGTTGTTGTTGTTGCTGGGCCGCGCAGTAATTAAACAACTACTAACTGTTTGCTTGTTTATGCCAGCGCAGCTTATTGCATATTGCCGTGTTGCATGCAACACTCGGCGGTACTTGTCAGCGGCTGACGTGGCATTCGCTAGGTATTATGGCAACATTAGCAGCAACAATGGTTGTTACAATAAAAGCAACAACAACCCTTTAGTAGTGGGAAATTGGAGCTGCTGCCGCGGCAACAACAACAATTCAACTAACTAGTTGCTACAATATTTTGATGCTGCAACACTTTGTTGCTGCTGTTGTTGTTGTCGCTATTATTACACTTAGTTTGCAAGTGAAATGTGTCATTAAATGCAAAAACAAACTCATTCCACTTGAATGCCAAGCGAGTGCTGCGCAAAGGAAGCTGGCTGCCACATCTTAGAGACGCATCCTAGGCGCTGAAGAAGCCGCTAGGGGGCGGGAGGTGTCTTACCATACCGTACTCGAGTTTTGCAAGCGTCAATTAGGAGTAATTAAGGCAAACATTGTGTGCCGCAAGTTATTGTTATTGGTTTGTTGTTGCTGTAATTGTTGTTGCGGCGTGGCGCGTGTTGCATGAATTATGCGCACATTTAAGTACAGTTCCGAACGTTGCTGGTCGCGCATAGAATGGCATAGAATACATGGCTTTTGTTGCCTGTGCCACCGCCGCCGCCACTGCGGAATATGCGCTGCAGTTGGGCGATAAATAATTTTTCGGTAAACTTAAGGAGTGTTGACTCTCTTGGCGCAATTTGGACTGCTTTCTTAGAATTTAAGCGATTTTTGTTGACAAAATAAATTATTTCATCAGTAAATTTAGTCAAAATTTATTTCAAAATTTCCTGAAAATTTTCAAAATTTCTGAAATACCAACAAATAATTATGCAAATAAAAAACAACAACTAATAATCAATTAAAAAGTCCTCGGCCTGACACTTAAAAATACAGTTGAAGCAGAACTTGGTTTTATGACAATTTTCCGAACACTTTCCCACAAAAATCAACCATTAAGGATAAGTTAAGAGGTTGTTAGATAAGTTCTGTAGACGGTGAAAGCAGCGGATGCTCTAAAGAGATTGTTACCGACCAAAATAGCAAAAAAGTCTCCAAAATAATATTGGATGCACAATAAGGTGAAGTTGTTCGAAAGAGCTCTCTTAAGATATCAAAGAAACGTATTGGATAGATTGTGACTGAATATTTGGGTATGAGAAAGCTCTGTGTAAAGTGGGACCCGCGCGGGTTCACTCTTGAATTATTGATTCCGAGCAGTGTTTGGCGATCTTTAAGCGTTATAAACCCGAGTTTTTGCTTGGCTATGTGACAATGAATGAAACCTGACTCCATCATTTCACTCCGGAGTCCAAGCGACAGTCATCCGAGTACACTGCACACGAAGAATTCGCTCTAAGGCATAGAAAATCGGAACAGACGGCTCGCAAGCTTATGCCATCGGCATTTTGGGATGCTCAGGGAATAATTTTACAATGTAAGGCAGGAGACTTTTCAGTTGACCAGTTCTACGACTAGTACCAGAACTTCCCATTGTCATTCTTACCAGCCATTAAAGCAAATCTCAAGTTTCCCTTTACTTTTGCCGGCAATCGCTGATATCTATAATACATTTCTGCTTATTTTCCATTTTATTATTCCTTCCCTTGTATTCACAATAGCATTCGAGCCATTTGTGTTTTGCACTAACTCGTATTTGCGTTTTTCCATATACATACATACATATGTACCTGCATACATATGTGTCCGTATGTGGGGTAAACATCTGCTTGTAGTACTGTAATATGCTGAAATATTCACCTTTAATTGGCAAAAAGCTGCAAAAAGTATCCAATTATTGATCCAATTAAAAGCAAGTTCTTTGCATTCGTACATGGCGCACACCCTTGGCCAAGCAAATATGTACCCACACTCTTATATGCACATAGATATCCATGCTTATGCAGCGTGTGTGTGCTCACACATGAACACGAGCGCACATATGTATTCGCACATGAATGCATATTTGGCACTCATAAATTACAACCACTCCCTATTATTGCACCGTCATGGCCCTGCGCCGCACCGTCGGCCATTCGCGCTCGCGCTGTGTGTTCGGTGTTCTAGTGGCACTCTTTGCTTAATTTTCTAACTACGAGCGCGGAGTAATAACCTCTTACTATTTTTTGGCAAATGCGCCACTATGCTTAAAAAACACAATTAAGACCGGAGAGTGTGGCAGCCACAAAAAAATTAGCATCGTCGCACATTACATATGCAGGCATACAACTAGATACACCCATACATATGTGCAACTGTGAAGGCAAGCGAGTACCGGTATTTTTTCTATCAATCGCTGATTTATTAGCTATCATTTGCTACTTACCCAGCAGTGCAGTCTGCGCAAACAACTATAAATTTGGTAAAAAAAAAAAACAAGTAGTACGACAGCGCTGCATAGGAGAGTTGGAGAAATTACCTTTCATAACCAGTTCACGTATGCAAGTTTTCATTGAAAGAAAGGGTGCTAATTACTATGATCCCTGACTAGCCACTGTATCAGTCTCGACACTGCAAAATCTACTATAGAGCTTAGAACACTCTACTTGAGTGGCAGGTTGCCGAACTTATGCCTCAGCCAAATTAAGAGCGTAGTTGGTCCTTGTCTAAAGGATTGGGTACAATAATTGAATAACTTCCACTCAGTATTCAAAGAATTGGAATTACTATATCGATTTCACAACTATGTAATATTATTCTAAAAAATTTAGTAAATGATTAAAGATATTCATTCTCGTTAACATCTACTTCCGACCAATACACATAAAAGTGAGGTATGAGGCAATGCTCATTGCCATCAAGCCTAATTGTTTTCCTGCGCATTTTGAAACTTTTTGAAAGAACTTTTGAAAGAACCTTGAGGACTCGACCATCGATCTTTCGAAATTGCCTGCTGAAGTGTTCACTGTTACTACTGTCAACTTGTTTGGGTCCCTTGGCTGTTGGTGCCAGACTTGTCGTCACTGTGGGCCTGGTATCATATTACACCTTGTTTTTGAATCGGATTAAGCTGGCAATGCGACCGACAAGAGCCCCAAAACAAACTAAGCACATCGTTTTCATTCCCCAGTAGAGGAGATTCGGATTATGGTTCCGTTATCGACTGTTCCAAAATCTGCGAATTCTACGAATATGTACCGATGGACTAAAGCGTGAAACTGGAACAGGAGCGGGTTTTTTTTTTGTGATAATCTAATCCAAACACAGAAGGTAGCTTCAAACTAAACGACTACAATTCGGTATTTCAAGCCGAAGCTATGTGCCCAACAGAAGGTGCCAAGTGAGCTTCTACATTATCCAGCAAGTCCATAAAAATCTAGTGTGTAACCAAGCCACAATTAAGGTCATCCATAGCCTCAATACTAAAACTCATTGCGTTAGGTTATGCCAGCAGGACTTTTAGTAAATAACTCGTTTAATATCATCTGCGTACCTGGTCATACAGATATAGAAGGAAATGAAAAGGCAGGTGAATTAGTCCGCTCGAGAACAACAACGCTCCCTATGCTGCAGCAGGACATTGAGCTACTTTAGGGGTTGTTTGAAACAATACAGGACATTCTACAGAGTAACTTTGGGATAGCGCTGACAGAGGAAAGACCAAAAGCCTATATCTAGACAAAAGGAAGCTTTGTAACATTTTAGGGGTCATCAAAGGGTACCTACCTATATGATCCTATCTTTAAAAACTGTGAGAAATGGATTTGGGGAATACCCAGCCTAAAGTCGGATGAGATCAGGGTGTTACTCGGTTTCCAATACTCCAATTTAAGAGACATTGAGCAAAATCAGGTTTTTCAGCATCTAAGAATTAAATGATCAGCGTGACGAGCTGAGTACGTCTGTCTTGGTCTGTATACACGAACTAATTTCTCAGTTTTTGAGATATCGTTCTGAAATTTTACAGACGTTCTTTTCTGTGCAAGAAGCTGCTCATTTATTGGCACAGCTGATATTGGCCCACTATATCATATATAGAGATATCTTAACGACATTTGGCCCGATTTATTGCCTAAGGTATCGATGCATTCCCCTAAGAAATTTTTCAGATCGGTTCACTATAGCATATAGCTGGCATACAAACTGACCAATCACATTTCTTCTAAAGAATCTTTTATATATGTGAAGGATGTTATAGTTATCTTCCCCTACTAGATAAACCTTATACATATCTTTACATAAGAATTTTTTCCACATATCATTTGAAATTGCATTTCTGGATTAAAACGTGCCACCTATTACTACGCTTCGCCAACACTAAAGTGTCAAATATATTAATATTGATATGTTCGCAAACTTTTAATACTAATTAGTCGAATTTAGCGAATTTGTGTCTCCCCGAAAACTTTAAATTTGGAAAACCATTCGCGAAATCCGTTAAAAGTTTTCACGAAAATCCGCTTTCAAAATACAAAAAACAAATGCTGATTGAGTGACGAACTTTAATAAGACTTTGCAGATGCATACACACGTAGTGGAAGACTGTGTTAGTGTGTTGCCAAACTTGCAACCTTAATGATATCAACAAATGTATTTGTGCAACAAAAGTCGTGAGCTAACAACAAGTGAGCAGTGACTGACGCATTCATATTTTATGAGATCTGCTAACAGGTAACAAGCTCATACACACATACACGCATGCTGACTTGGATCTACCTGCATGTTGGCTCACACGTGCAACACGCCTTCTTCTAGCTGCCACAAGCCCAGCTCGTCAAAGTTTATTAGCTGTTGCTTTATAACTTCCAATTGACGGCTGTCGCGAGGCGGGAGTGTGAGTAAATGTGTCTTTAAAAAGTCGCTAAACTTTCGCTACGGTGCTAAGAAGCGCAAAATCCACACACTCCCACACACACATGTGCATATGTGTGGCTGACACTGAGTTTGCCAAATCTTCCTTTGGTTGCAAAGTCTCATTGACTTGCGGCAATTTGCATTCAAGGATAAATGCATATGTGTGTGCATATGCGTAGCTTTCGCATGGTTGTTCCGCTATTGTTGTTGCAAACTTCAATTTGTCATCGGGAATGGTAATTGCGAATTAACGTTGACGTTGAGCGTTGGATTTGTTTACCTGCACGTCACAATGGCGTTGCTAAAATGTCACTCCAATTTAAATAGAGCGCAGTATACTGGGTAGTCGAAAAAGTATTTTCGTATTTTTAATCAAACTTTTTTTTTACCGCATATTTAATGGAAATATATTATGGGAATCTATTTTATAAGATTATAACGCAATTTGACTTCCTCGGCGGTTATTTTTTATGAAAAGTAGGGGTTCTTTATATACAATTTAATGAATCCTAATTATGCCCGATTGTTTTGTGTACCATTAAATTTTGTGCAGCTAATTTTTTTTATTATAATTGCTCTAACACTCTTAAATCAGGATTTTTAGCTTATTACATTTGAGCTTTTCACTTCTTTTACATTTACTCACGCAAAGATTCTCTATTTACCCCACCAGATGAGCCCACCATCAACCAGGCAACCACCAATGTGGTTGAGGGCATCGATTTGGATGAGATTAAGGAATTTGCCAAAGCGTTCAAGTTGCGACGTCTCTCATTGGGTCTCACGCAAACACAAGTGGGACAGGCGTTATCGGTGACCGAGGGACCCGCCTACAGTCAGAGCGCCATATGCAGGTAAGAAGAGTATAAATTATGAAGTTGTTTATAAGAAACAAATATATATATATTTAAGAGCTCAGAGTTTTCAGAACACACGAAAAATATTTTTTTGTTTTCTATTTAGAGATCGAAAGTAAGCAATGGTCTATAATTCATGCTTTTCGTTGACTTGAAGGCAATGCAAAAAGTGTAATCAGAGCTTTCATTCAGATTTTCTGTAGCTTTTCCGAAAGGTTTGTTGAGGTTATGGCCAACAGACTAAACTTCAAATAATAAAATCAGGAAGGCTTCGTAATCCAAGAAGCATGGCAAATAAAAATCAGCAAGCTTAAAAGTCTTTCTTCAATTACAAATCGCAAACTTTTCACATTGAAAATAAAAAGTATTGTAAACTTGCAAATGTTGAATAAATAATGCTATGTTCCGACTGATACTTTATCACACGACTTGGGCTGTTGCGTAGATTATCTCTCTAATCTGCTAAATTTAGCAAGATTTCGTAATTCAAAAATGACACTTGTTGACAGTCGTCACCCAGGTGATTTGAAGCTAAACTACTCAAAAACTCTCTACTCTCCACTCTGACTAAGCACCATCTGTTTGCCACATTTTGCTTTATCACATGGATTTTGACACTCCAAACTGTCAATCTGTTAAAGAAATAAAATAAACAAATAAAGTAAAAAACTAAGAAATGAAAGCAATACCAAGTAAGGTGAAAGTGATGGAAAATTGTATCGAAATGGGAATATATATGAAGTGAGACTGCCGAAGACAATTTAATAGAGTTGTGACGAGAAAAAAGCCAAAGCTTCGAACGGTTAGACAAAAACAGCTGTTTTATAAATCCCCAAAGGCAGGGAGCACAGTCTAGATTGTTGAATAGATTAAATGTAATCTACTCACTTCAATTTATTTAGGGGAAGGCGGCATTACTTTTGTATTTTAACTAAACGAAGAGAAGTTGGTGAAAATGATATTTGCATACGAGGAATACGAACTTACTAATAATAATGTATCCCAAGTAGATCCGTTGTACGTATTTATGAGTTCTGTTATTTATAGATCACACACCTATTCGTTTGTAAGCTCTTTCAATCTGCTTTCGTAGAGTTATGGCATTGATTTGAGAAATATTTGGCATAGCGCTGCGGTAATCTTGGACAGGCATCCAGGCATCCTTCGCACTTTCAGCAAAGACCTTTAGTTTTTTTGGAAAATTTTCACAAAAACTTCGTACAAAAAAATATACATATAACGAGTCGAAACAAGCTAAATTTTGAAACTTTTCATCGAAACGTTTGGAAATTTCGAAAAGAACCCTTACTTTCTCTGCAAAAATAACTGAAAGCTTTCGAAAGCTTAATAATTTGCCGCACAAATTTAAAAATTGTATACTCATACTCGCTCAGCAAAAGTTCGTGCTTGTGTTCTGAAAACTCTTTGGAATTTTTACTGTGCCAGGACATTTAAGCATAATTTGATTTTAAGCTTACACCAAATAAATCCCCACAGATTTTGTGAGACCAACAAATAAACTCAAATATATATTTATTTATTTTATATTTTCTGCTACGGAAAACCAAAAAAAAAAAAAAAAAAAACAATATGATTGCAATTAAATACAAAAACAAATGCAACAGTGCACTCGCCGCACAGATGTACGCCGCCCAATTGTCGTCGCAGCAGCAGAACATGTACGTGCCCCAAACTACTTACACACACACTTAGAAATAAGAAAGCACACGCCTAACAACGAGACATAAAAATCTAGAATCAATGAATCTTAGTATGAGTATTTAACTAACAAAAGTAGAATGTAGACTAACAAATTGCAGAGCAATCGCAAACATAAACAACTACTAATACAACAACAAACAACAACAAAAAATAATTATACCTAAGTATGCGCTGTAGAATTGTTTATTTGCTTTCCGCTTGCCGCTTGCCGCTGACAAAGGCATTTCTTTCACTTTTTTGTTACTTTTGTAATCTCAAGCCTTTGCTAATTGGCCAGGGCATTGCCAAAGTTTTTATTATACGCACAATAATTAAAGAAGAAGTTATGTCAACAAAAAAAATATTGTCGCGGCGTTGAACCATATTTTGTGAATTTACTTATTTGCTCGCTTTTAGCACATTTGACAATGTCCTGGCACTTAAAACTTCCACAGTTAGTTCTAACAGTCTACTTGCGCATACTTACCACACACACACACACACCAACCAACACACGCATTGTAGCTTTATGACAGCGTCCATTTCTAATTTACTAATTCTCGCCTCTCTTTTGAAATTACGACTCTCTGCACTCCCGGGCCGCACACAGGTTTGAGAAGTTGGACATAACGCCAAAGAGCGCGCAAAAAATCAAGCCAGTCTTAGAGCGCTGGATGAAAGAGGCCGAAGAGAGGTGAGAGTATGGAAGAAGTTCCACACGTCGACGATCTCAAGCTTGAACACGTTCTTTACTAACACTTGAATTTTGTCTCTCATTTTACACACTCGCCGTATACAGTCACTGGAATCGTTACAAATCTGGCCAGAATCATTTAACCGACTACATAGGCGTGGAGCCGTCGAAGAAACGCAAGCGACGCACCTCATTCACGCCACAAGCTCTGGAGCTGCTGAACGCACACTTCGAGCGCAACACACATCCATCGGGTGAGTGGTAATTTCGAAAATGACATTTCTCCAATAACCTACCGTCGGCGCTTTTACTAACCCTCTTCTCTCTCTACTCTTTCCCACGCTAGGCACCGAAATCACCGGCCTGGCGCACCAATTAGGCTATGAGCGCGAGGTGATACGCATCTGGTTTTGCAACAAGCGCCAGGCGCTGAAGAACACCGTACGCATGATGTCCAAAGGCATGGTGTAGGAGGGCATGCCCTACGACCACTTTCCGAGCACATTCTGAATGTGTGCGAAAGGCGTAGGTGGAAACCCGAAATCGTTGGAGCAGCAGCGCTGTTAAAGTGACTCGCTTGAAAACCGTTTCACTGCGGACACAAAAATCGTGTGGCATTCGTTTAAGCACAACACTGCTGCCTAAACTGTAAATTAATTTAGCATTTATTCCGATTTGCCTCAGCAGCATGCAAGTAATCATTAGTTATGCATTCAATATATATAATTTTGTAAAGTAATTACATAACTTACGCACGGCAACACTCAATACTCTAAGTTTTACTAAACTTATGTAACAGCACGCGCTAATAGTGTCAAGACAAGTCTCCTTCAGGGCCAAAAAGGTCCAAGTGCTTACTGTACAGCCCATTTTTATAGCTACGAAGTTATGTTTGACTTAAGCTAAAATAAATTAAGCAAGTGTATCCACACTTTCCTCCTACCAAGTCGCAACAGCATGTCATAAAAGTTTAGATACCGAGCGTTGTATATTTCCAAAAGTATTTATTTGAATTGTGAAAGCAAAAGTAAACACGTGGATAACAAATGAATCGGCATAACTGTAAATATGTTAGTTGGCGCATAAAATACAATAACAACGCAAGCGCAGTGGATGTTCAGGTGTATTCGCAGAGAATACGAAAACTCATCTGATTTTGAGATGCCCTTACACCATATGCACCGTTAGTTTAGCGTATGTGCGTTGCGCTTTCGTAGGCATAATTGTGAAAAATATCTAAAAATTGGGAAATAATAAATTAAAATTAATCCTCCAGGCCATGTCATTGTAAATGGTGTGTCATATATGTATGTGTATGTTCAAAACAGTCTACACAATAATATTTATGTTTATTTGTATGCATTATTAAGCAGTAAAATAAAAATAAATTAAGCTTAAATAAATACTAGCAACCAATTAAATTAGTCCAACTAAACATTGTATACGAATAGCAAACTAGAAGCAAGGAAAAACACTAAAACGTAAGTGTGTATAATTTAGCTGTAATAAATACTATCACTTTGTTAATTCTCCATTTAATTTTGTTGAAATTTGAATTGTTGTACACTCTTTATGTTTTAAACTTTAGGTTACAGTCTGTTCAAATAAAATTTCTAATTGTGTTAAATATTTTTTTAATTATGTTAAACATTTTTCTACCACGTACTCTTATACAGCGTGTCTTTCGTTAATATTTTGACTTTAGAACTGTTATTTCTTAATTTAAACTGTCTCCACTTTTTTATTGTTTCATATTTTAATACATTTTTCAACGCAAAACTCTTTATTTATACCAATATAACATTTATAAAATGAATTCGCTTAATTTTCATTTATTTTTAAAAACATAACAATTTAAAATAAATTTTTAAAATATTTTTTTCCACTAGCAACATTAAATAATTCAGCGCATAATAAATAAGTGTTTAAACAGTTTATGAGAAATTAACATAAATGGCATAACATAGCTGTAACCTACTAACAGAAATGCTAACCACATAGAGTAGCATATTAACAGAGCATGTTATTTTGTTAACATACTCTGCTATTAATTATGTTATTTTAATAAGAAATAAAATATAATGGTTTAAATTTAAAGCGAAGCGTACTATTTAGCTCTTAAGTGACGGCCGCAAGGCACTAGTGTTAGATAAATACTTGTAATTTAGACAAACGAAAAATGTTAATAAGACAAGAATTAACATAAATATGTTTAATGTATTTAAGCTTCAGGTTAAAGTAAGTAGTTATGTTACGCTGTGCATAGCTGCATGAAATTAAATAAAGAAAGACCCCAAACTGTACTAATATTAAAATAACTAAATAATGAAGTAATGAAATACGTGTGTATGCGTGAACTTATTTAAATGGATTGTAATAAAAAAACCAAAATCAAGAATATAAACCGAAAATGTTGTCTTATTCAATTCACACAAGCGCAAGGATTTTGAGATCAGTTTTCGAATCCACAAACGGAGAGAAACCCAGGTGTCATGCAGCTAAGGTAAAATGACTGGGGCTTATTATTGACAAAAAGCTTTCATGGAGGCCAAATATCGAGTGGAGAGTAAATAAAACATTGGTTCGCGTATATTGATGCAGACGAAGCTATAGGAAAAAAGGGGAAACTCTCAGCAAAGGTTGTATTTTGACTCTATGAAGCTGTAGTCAAGCAAATAAAATATAGTGAGTAATAGTGAGTTTTTCTTACAGATGGATTCAAGCAAGAGTGCATGTTGGAAAGGGAGGCTTTTGTAAGGAGCTTAGCTTCCAGCTGCCGGACAACTGTAGTGTTTCTCAGGCACAAGTGGCTGATATTAAGTTGCAGTAAATTTACTGCTCCAGAGTGCAGCTTCGTTCAGAACGGCGATATTAGCATTGAGCTCGGACACTATGTGCTCGAAGTTGGTGTCCTCTCTAGAAATAGTATAATGCTGCTTAATCTTCAGATTCTTTTTAGACGATCCCCGTTCACATCGGAAGTGCTACTAGTCGATACTCCGTTGTCATCTGGCGCTCTAGCATTGGACCTATAGACATCGCTCGCGTGTGGCAGGCGTTAGTCCACAACCAGCTCCTAAAGTAGAACGTAAGGGATCTAATGGACTCCTTGCTCTGAACAAAGCTCATCTTGAAGCAATCGTATGACCTGTTAGTGGACATTGTCATAAAGGCATACCTCCTGCAAGGCTAAAAATCCAGTCGGACTATAAATTGTCAAGTTTTTATGGAAAAAGATTAAGTGGAAATATCCCTGCACTTTCTCCTCCATTATCCAGTTTTTACCAGATTGAGGCAGAAACACCTCCGCACTCATAACTTCACCGAACCAGCACTAAGAGTATTTTTATTGAAACCAAAAAGTTTATTTCTAAAATCTTTATTCTACAAATGTTTAACAAAATCGTTTTTCCTTAGCTCTAAAATACAAATACACATTCATAAATCAACACGTAAGCTGCTTTTCAATCACTTAACATAAGCTCCAGAGCTTTTTGCTTTCTGCGTAGGCGATACTCGGTGATGGCATAACTGCAACAAATAAGAAGAAATTGAAAAAATAAAATATACAATGATATATTAAAAGCGTATAGTAAAATTATTAACATTTTAGCATTATCCATATTTGCACAAAATCTGCAAAGAGGGAAAAAGCACAATAGTTAGGGTCGTTTCCACACCGTATTGTTAGTAATCTTCTGTCAGTCAAGTTCTCATTAACTTTAACGAAAGGTGGAGTCTTTGAACTTAAATGACAGATGGCTGCTAACCAGCCATTGAGAACACGGCGCTTAAAGAAATATATGACTTTTGAACACATGTAAAATAATATGCTGAATCTAAGCAAAGATTCGGCTAGTGCACTTATTAAATTCTGCCTTTAGGCGCCAACCTATAACAGCACCATTCACAGTTTTATTTCAGTATAGCTTTCATGTATGTCTTTTGATGTACTCACCCTGCACTTCCGATGCCGAGCACACAGAGCAGTATCACCAACTTTGTGGAAGTACAGAACTGTGAACTGATGATGTATCCAATAACAGAACCAGTCGATTCCCACAAGCGGAAGTTGCTGTAGCCAGCGATGAGATGGTTCGGAAAGAGAATGCCATAAAAAGCTGCAAGCATATACCACAGACAAAAACCAATAACAGCTGTGAACATTTAGCAAAGACAACAATGAAACTTACCATTCACCACGACCAACCATACACCATCGCAAATGCCCCAAATCGCCGCGAATGCGCAATACATGACATAATCACCCTCGCGCGCCTCATAGAAAAACATATAGGTGAAGAGCGAGGCATTCAGCAGCGCACAAGCGATGAACAGCGTGATGCGGCCCAGTTTCTCAACTAGAGCGCCGGCAATGCCCGCAGCGATGGCGTTGGCAACACCAAAGCAAATCATGGCGAAACCAATTTTCGAAATGCCCCAACCGCAGGCGACAAACGACTGTAAACGGCGAAAGGTAATGTATGCATGAATCCCATGTATTATACAACCATTAGGTAATAGTAGTGCGGAAATAATACTCACGCGAGTATAGTCCACTGCCAAGAAGGCTTCCTCCAAGCCGATGAACATTGTGATGGGCAAAATGAGCAATTGGCGACGCTTGCGCAACAAATTTAGGGTAACGGTGAGCAAACGCAGGCCAGACATGCCATCGCCAGAGTCGCTGCGACGAACGCCATAGCTGTGAAGCGAAGAGTGAGCATTTAGAACCCAATTATAATTAGAAATAGAATATTGCCTTACCGTTTCAGCGAGTTGACACCGAAGAGCATTAGCACCACCGCTGTGGCCATGCAAATGAGGAAGATAGAGGTGAGCAGTTGGATTTTCGCCGGTTCGGGTGGAGTCAAGTTCGGATTCACGTCGGCGCCAATGCCTGGACAAAAACGTGCGCCACATATCTCACCCACATGACTGTCCGAGGGTGGAGGCGTCACGAGCGCTTCGAGTGTGGTATTCAGCTCCACAACGGCAGAAGAGCCGAAAGATAATACTGTAAATAGAAAGTGTTGAAGTGAGAGAGGGAATATAATTAGTAGTAATAAAAAAGTGCAAGTTTATAAGTATATTTACCTGAAGAAGATATCAAATTCCCCCAAACCTGTGCCATCTGGTAGAATATGAAGAAGAGTCCAAAGAATTTGACGGTATTCACGTCTTTACGTGACTCATTGCCACGCACTTTAGTCAGCGCCTCGGCGACTGTTGAGAGGTAAGTGCATTTAGAACACCACAAAGGTCCACCGCCAAAGCCGACCATCAAACCTATAAGGATTACGCTAGCAATTGTTGAGTTTCTAAGGAAGTGAATGGAGAGTACAAACCTGCTGGTATAAGCGTCTCGAAGCGTGGATAAAACTGCGCGGCAATAAAGGGCATATAGGCGAAGAAGGACAAAGCCATGGTCAGATGACAGCCAAACCATCTAAAAATATAATTGTGGTAGTAAAGTCGTCACTGAAGTACTATCTAGGTTTGTATTATGGTATAAACGTTAATGCTAATAGTTGGATGAGGTTTATTGTTCAATATTCGATGCTGCAATATGGAAAAGAGGAAAATTCGTTTTTCTTTTAAAGAGTCAACTGTCAGTAAAGAAGTTTTTGTAGCTAAGCGGATGCTTTCACGCGAAAACCACAGCCGTTACAGGTTCCTCAGGCGAATTTTAACTGCAAATGCCATATTAAGGCGGACTTAGATAATACTTTCTGTTATTGGGACTATTTTTCTACCCTTTTGGAGCGGGAGGTTGCTCTCATCAGTCATCTCCCTCATTGAAAAACACTAAGCAAATTAACTTAGCTTTTATTTATAATATTTTCGAGTTCACCCACGCACAAAACAGCAAGCAATACAACCTAACCCAGAGGCTGATCCCTCCATGCAATATTGCAGCATATTAATATGCGAGGTCCAACAATTCACGACTGCATGCTTGCGCTGCTGCTGCAAACAACTGAAGCCACATGCCGCACACAATGCCGACGCGTATCTGCAACGATGCGAAACA